GCCCAGCTAACCAATCACAACACGCACTGGCCTAGCTTAACCAATCACAGCACATTTTGTATTTCAGAAGGCGGGCCTTCATTTGATACAGGAACTATTCGAGCCGTTCATGCCAGACTGGGGAGAGAGGTGTTGTAATAATGTAAAATATGTGAAAAATAATGTATTTTTCGAACAACCTAGCCTGTTCTAGTACACCTCCAAAACAAAATCAAGACTTTGTAAAAGAGCATAATAGGACCCCTTTAAGTGAATAACACGTCTGATGTAATGGCACAGGCGTCAGAAGGGAACTCTATCACCCCTTTGAGACCTCAGAAAGTTTTTTTACCGCCACAGTCTTGCACTTGCATTGTGTTGACCGTGCATTTACGTTTGCATACTTGTCTAGAATCTGTTTCTGGTCCCAATCACCCACTCTCTGTTAGGACAGCGCATTAGTAGACAGACGCTGAGGGTGAACAGGATGTGGACCTACTTGACATTCTCAGTAACCTGAGAGAGGCCTTTGTACCCCTTAGGCCTGGAAACTGGTCCGGCTCTGCCAACAGCAAATGAATAAATCCTCATGCTCGTAAAATGTGGGAATTAATAAATAATAAGTCGTCAGAGCCGACCGTCTCCTGCCAGATTCTTTCCTGGTGCCATAACAGAGCTCTATTTATAGTGTGGAAGGTGTGCATATGTTTGCATTAGCATTCCACTCAGATGTGAGAAATGAGTCTATATGTATAAAGTGGGGTGGGGATTTTCTTAAAGTCACTTGTCACTTGTCACTCCATTCCTTCATTCCTTCTCCTTTATTGCCCTTCATTTATTCGCTACCTCCTCATACCCCGGATCTGACCTACTTCAGCCGCTTTATTTCCCCTGTCTGTCTGAAAAACATTGATTTTGTGAATTATGTGATTTGAATTTATACTGTTCAAAAGTTTGGGGTCTGTAAAATATATATATATATTTTTTAAGTCTCTTCTGCTTTCCAAGGCTGCATTTATTTGATCTAAAATACAGTAAATATTATTACTTTTAATTAGTGGTCGACCGACATGGGTTTTTTGACAGCCGATGCCGATATCTTGGAAAGCAGGGTGGCCGATGGCCGATATTAAGCCAATATAATTTTATTTATTTTAATTAATATTTAAGAAATTTGAAATCATTTGAAAATGGATTAAAAATAATTTTGTAAAATAAACATACTTATACTTTAAAAGACGAAGCATTTTTCACAAATAAATGTATATTAAATAAAAATCTAATTGAATAGGAAGTAAACACTACAAATGCATAAAGCGCAGCATAATTTGAAATCATGAGTTTAGTTTGTTGATCACGTATCTCCAGTCAAGCAGAACTCTCCTCCTGTCAGCATTCAATTCACACGGACCGACCGTCACGCAGAGAACACGCGATCATGCAGGATACAAATGCACACTTCACAAGATCAACTA